GCTATGTTCTACTTAATATAATGTAGCTTCTCAGATTATGTGCTTATACAGACTGAGAAAGTATGGTGAAAGAGTACAACCCTGGCACACACCTTTCCTGATTTAAACCATTCTGTGCTCTGTTCTGTTTGAACAACTGCCTCTTGGTCTATGTACAGATTCCTCAAAAGCACAATTAAGTGTTTCAGATTATTCTCCATAATGCTGTCCATAGCTTGTCATGATCCACACAGTCGAAAGCCTTGCATAATCAAAAAAGCACAGATAAATATCTTTCTGGTATACTCTGCTTTCAGCCAAGACCCATCTATTGTCAGCAATGATACATCTTTTTCCACGTCCTCATCTGAATGCAGCTTGAATCTGTGGCAGTTCTCTGTCAATGTAATATTGCAGCCATTTTTGAATTTTCTTTAGCAAAATTTCACTTGCATGGGTTAAGGATATTATTTGATGATTTCCACATTCCACAGGGTCACCTCTCTTTGGAATGGGCACAAACAAATACGGATCTCTTCCAACCAGTTGACCAAGTCTTCCAAATTTCGTGGCATAGATGATTGAGTGCTTCTAGTGCTGCATCAGTTTGTTGAAAGATTTCAGGGGTTTTTTTTTCATTAATTCCCAGAGCCTTGTTCTTTGCCAATGCCTTCAGTATATTTTGGACTTCTTCCTTCAGTGTAATTGGCTCTTGATCACATACGACCTACCTCTTAAAATGGTAGAACACTGACCATTTCTTTCTGGCACACTGACTCTGTGTATTCCTTCCATCTTCATTTGATACTTTCTGCATCATTCGATTTTTTGCCCACAGAATCCTTCAATACTGTAAGTCGAGGCTTGAAATTTTTTCTTCAATTCCTCCAGCTTGAGAAATACTGAGTGTGTTCTTCTTCCCTTTTGGTTTTCTAATTCCAGATCCTTGCACGTTTCGTTATAATATTTGACTTTGCCTTCTCAAACTGCTCTCTGAAATTTTCTATCCAGCTCTTTTAACTCCTCATTTCTTCCATTTGCTTTAGCATCTCTATGCTGGAAAGCCAAGTTTCAGAATTTCTTCTGACATCCATTAGGTTTTTTACTTCTTTCATGTCTTCTTAATGACCCTTTGCTTTCTTCCTGTATGATGTTCTTTATGTCAACCTACAACTCTTCTCGTACTTGGTCTATAGTATCTAATATTGAGATGATCTCTAAATTAAGGTGGGATATATTCAAGGTTGTATTTTGACTCTTGTGGACTTGTTTTAATTTTTTCACTTTCTATTATTAATTTATATTCTATTTCTGAAACTGAAATTGAATAGAAGCAACTGATGGCCTGGTCCACATATTTTGCCTATACAATCCTACAGTAATACAATCCAAGGCTTGAATTTTTTCTTGTTCTTCAACCTTGAAAAATGCTGAGTGTGTTCTTCCTTTCAGTTTTCTAATACCAGGTTTTTACATATTTCATCATAGTACATGATTCTGTCTTCTCAAGTTACCCTTGGAAAGTTTTCTGTTTCGCGCTTTTAAAAAATTTTGTTTTCACCTCTTCAATTTCATCATCATTGACTTTAGTGGTTGGTGAGTAAATTTTTATAATAATTCATTAACTGGTCTTCCTTGTAAGTGAATGGATAGTATCCTATCACAGACAGATCTTGAAATACTCTTTTTGACAATGAACGCAATCCGCCATTCCTCTTCAATTGATTGCTCCTGGCATAGTAAACCATATGACTGTCTGAATCAAATTGGTTAATGCCAATTAATTCCAGCTTACTAATGCCTGGGATATCAATTTTTATGCTTTGTATTTCATGTTTGATAACTGCAATTTCCCTATATTCGTATTTCATACATTCCATGTTCCAATTCACTAATGGATGCTTGCAGCTATTTCAGGAAATGAAAGTCCCAAAAGCTTTACTCTGTTCTTGTCAACACGGTCAACTCCAGCCTACAGAAGCAGCTCTACACCAGTCGTATTTTGAGTACCGGCCAACAAGAGGGGTTTACCTTCCGGCAGACAATGTTCTGCTGCTAATCCATACGGTTTTCAGTGGCTAAACATTCCTAAGTACTCTGCCTCTCCTTCTTTGTAGTCTACCTTAGTCTGGAATCTCAGCTGAAACCTGTCCACCATGGGTGAATCTACTGGTTTATAAACTACTGGTGGCACACTTCCAGCATCATAGCAACATGCAAGCCACCACTGTCAGTCTGTTGTTAAGTGCCGTGGAGTCGGTTCCAACTCATAGCGACCCTGAACAGGGTTTCCGAGGTTGTAAATCTTTGCAGGAGCAGAAAGCCTCATCTTTCTCCCATACAGTGTGTGAGTGGCTGGTAGTTTCGAACTGCTGACCTTAAAGTTCGCAGCCCAATTCATAGCCACAATGTACCAGAGCTCCTTACTGTCAGTTTAGTGGTGGATAAAATAACTTAGTCTAATATAATGAATTTGTTGTTGTTGTTGTTGTTAAGTGCCGTTGAGTCGGTTCCGACCCATAGCGACCCTGTACAGGGTTTCCGAGGGTGTAAATCTTTACGGGAGTAGAAAGCCTCATCTTTCTCCTGCGGAGCGGCTGGTAGTTTCGAACCGCTGACCTTAAGGTTCGCAGCCCGATTCGTAACCACTACGCTACCAGAGCTCCTTGATGAATAAATGGGTTAAAAAGGGAGTCTCCCTAGGATGTGTTCTTCCTGCAGACTATAGACAGTGCTCTTTTATACTCTGCACACTCAGTCACATGATCAACAGATCGTGGGATATATGCCTGCCAAGAGTCAGCTTGCTGCCTGATTTATGAAGTTTAGACTTTTGCCCATCCATAATAATTGTTTGTGTCAATTCTTTGGAGTGAATTTCTCTCACTCTGTACATACATATGAACTTCTAGTGTGGTGCTCTAAGATCAGCACTGGACTGCGAACCACAGAGTCTATAATTCAAAACCACCAGTGTTCCTCGGAAAGCCTATCAGGGTCACTATGAGATGGAATCAACTCAATGGAATTTAATGATGACAACATACATACAGATACACAGAGAGAGTTAAAATTCTATGTGTGCATGTATATGCTGCTGTTATTAAGTGCTATTGATCAATTCTGAATCATAGTGTATCTGTTTATGGTTTCTGTGGGGCAGCTGGTAAGTTTGAAGTGCCAACCTTGCAGTTCAAACTGACCTTTTGGTTCAGTGTATTATCATATAATGCCACACTAGGACTTGTACATATATAAGTACGTATGTATACAGACAGAGAGAGACATTATCTTTATATTTATCATTGGCTCTGTTTCTCTACAGAATCCTAAGACAATTATACTATTTTCTTTACTTTTGAATATGTCTGAAAGTTTCTACAATTAAAAAAGAAGGTTCACCTGAGGAATGGCACTGGAAGTGAGGATACATAAATTTTCATTTTAAATCACTGTATATTCAGACTGTTTCAAGCATGTGCATGGATTGTGCTAAGAAATTTTTTTTTACTATTTTATAGAAGATGAAGTTTTGTTAGATTCCAGACTATCAGAATTAAGTGATACTTAGTAGAGGTGAAAAGATAATTTAAGATTAAGAAAATAACACTTGTAGTCAGGGGATAATTATTGTTGCTAAGTGCTAGCAAGTCAGTTCTGACTCATAGCAACTCTGTATATGTTTTCCAAGGAGTAGCTAGTGGGTTTGAACCACAGACATTATGGTTATTAGTAGTCTAGTGCTGATTATACAGTGTCACAGGACTCCATTGCTTTATTGAATTAGGTATTTGAAAAGGTAGTAGAAATGGAGTATCAATCTCTACTGTGTACATCAATCAGTAAGTTCCATAAGTTTTTATACAAATAAATTAATGAATAGTAGAAAATCTTAAATAGTTATCAAAGGAATGACCCATGGTTTTGAAGTATTGTTATTTTTGTTGCTGTTGGGTGCCATCGAGTCGATACTGACTTAGAGCGACATTATGCACAACAGCACGAAACTGCCCGATCCTGAGCCAACCTCACTATCATTGCCACACTTCATCCCACTGATGCTTGCCACTTTGCCAATCCATCTTGCTGGGGGTCTTCCTCTTTTTCTCTGATCCTCCACCTTACAAAACACGATATCCTTCCCCAGTGACTGGTCCCTCCTGACAGTATGTCCAAAGTATGAGAGATGAAGTTTGGCCATCCTGGCCTCCATGGAGCACTCTGGCTGCATTTCTTCCAAAATGGATCTAATGGTTCTTTTGGCAGCCCATGGCAATTTCAATACTCTCCTCCAACACCATAACTCAAAAGCATCAATTCTTCTATGGTCTTCCTTATTCACTGTCCAGCTTTCGCAGTCGTAAATTGATTACGACTAATGGTAACCCCAAATATGCAGAAAAGAACTTCTCCACAGTATTTTTCAAAGCTCTGAAAGTAGATTGCCAGGTCTGTCTTCTCAAATAAATCTGAGTGAGTTCAAACTACCAACATTTTGCTAGTTATCAAGTGCTTAACCATTTCTGCCATTCAGGGACTCCTTCCCCTCAAAACTTTACTGGTCATAATCCTTTCTGACAAATCTCTGCTCCAGATGGTCAAGTGGTCAGTTTCAAAAAGAATACGTTTCATGACTTTTTACCCACTTTTGTTATTCACTAGGTTATACACTATTTGAGTTCACAGGAAGGAAAATTTCAAGTAGCACAAGAATTCTACAGGAAAACAACAAAAGAGTAGCTTTGCTAGAGCAACAAGCAAAACTTAGTAGCCTAAATCTAATAATACTGAATGTATATTATGAAGACTAATCCCTTTAGTGGAGTCCCCATGTGGCACTGCAGGGTAAATACTAGACTGCTAACTACAAAATCAGAGGTTCAAACCCATACTCTGCTTCTTGGAAACCCTATGCAGGGTTGCTGTGAGTTGGAACCGACTTGAGAACACTTAACAACAATCCCTTAGTACATTTAAATAATGACAGAGTATAGATTTCTCATTTTAATTAGTTCTCTTACCTTTAAAGTTGCTCCTACCCAAAAAGAATAACAGGTGTCTACAGGCTTATTAGGTCTTCCGTGATAACCATTTTGTTGCCTCATTATACACCATCTCTTTATCCTGTTCAATTCTTTTTCAGAAAAAACTTCTTCTAGTTTACCCATCAGACACAGTGATGCAATGCCACAAAAAGTTGATCCTCCTGTTAATCAAAACCACACAATGCTATAAACGTCAAATCAGATGCCTATGAAGAGTACAAATGTATGGGGAGGGGTAGTGGGTAAACAATGATAGAACAATAGTGAAATAAATTAGAAGGCAATTAATTATAATTTTTAAATGACTACTAAGCAAGAAGTAGTCTTTAATATTAATTTAATTTTAATTAATATTGATTAATAAATATCTCAAAGAAAATGAATAAACCTTAAAATCAAAATAAAAATGAGAATAATCAGAAAGATTTAGTAGATATTAGCATAACTGAAATGTAGAAGTTCCTGCTCTGTGCCCCAGCTTGGGATTCCTGCCTTCCAGAGCTGCCTACCATATATATA